TACTGAGCTGCCTTGAATCAACCTGGGGCTCATTTTCTGTGCTTCACTGTACTTTGCCTTCTCCAATCTTGTCAAAGAGCTCTGTGACTCTCTGACCAAGGAGGAGAAGGTCTCCTGGGCAGGGGAAGCTGTGGGGAACAGTCCATCTTCTCTCCCCCTACATAAGACTAAACAAAGTCACTGGGAGGAAGCATCCTCCTTGTCCCACACTGTTGTCCACAGCAGCCAGTGACCTGCAGCAATTATCCCACTTTGTTTGTCACTGAAGTGCCAAGACAGAGCCTGAAATTACTTAACACAAACCCAAACCACCCTGCTGTCACCCCTGCCCTGAAGAGCCTGCAGGGTGACGAGGACAGAGCCCAGCAGGTGCTCAGGAGATGGGACAGCATGTAGAAGATGGAATTGTGGATGACACCTTTGGCAGAAATCAGGCTCTTTGCATAGACATGATGATGACTCAGGCAGCACCAGGCAACAGGACAAGGGGGGCTGTGGAAAGCCTTGCCAGGAACAAACATTTGGTAGGAAGAAATGGGAACACTGCCACACAACAGGTGAGGGAGCCTGGGAAGTGAAAAGTGGAGGAAACACCCGGCAGAGCATGTGCAGGCTGAAACCAGGGCCCTTCCTTCTCAGGATCTTTGCTTTTGTATCAGATGTACTTCATCCTCTACAAATGAAGGCAGGAGCTGAGCAGTGACAACACAGGACCAGCCAGGGGATGGCCTCACCTGGGGAAAGCCTGCCAGTGAAGTTCTCTCCTATGCAAGGTCACAACATGCAGGACACAGCTCTGCTGCAGTTCAGCCATGGAGCCCTGGTGAGGCACAGACCTCCAGCAGACAGGAGGTGCTGCCTTTCTGGCCTTCACCAACTACTCACACTTCAAAACATGCACTGAAAAAAACCCTCAGGTGACAGGTGTGCATCTGGGGTGCCAGGAAATTGCACAATGAGGCAACAAGTAGCACAGCTCCCAGTCAAAAAAACCCCAGCTGCATGTAGCCAAAAACACTGAGGATTGACTCAGCCTTGTCATTTCAGTCCATGCACATGTGCCAGGGACCCCTCCTCAGGAGAACCTGACCTGAATGAGAGCAGGAACTGCAGGGGCACCATCAGCCCCTCCAGCCACCTGGGAGTAGCCTCAGCAGCTGCTCTCCCCAACCTCACCCAGCTCCTCTAGAGGGGACAGAAACTGTTTCAGAGCCTGGGATCTCTCTTAAAAGGTTTTTTCAATCTCTTCCTTTAGAACAAAGCCCTCAGCTGTAAGAAGAAACCAGCTCTGACCTCACTTGCAGCCACTCCAGCAGCATTTCTTGTCCTGCTGCAGAACAGCAGCCTGCACACAAACCCTCCCAAGAAGGCACTGCAGGGTCACTATCCCCAGACTTGCTAATTGCCAACAATCCCAGGCCACAGTTTGATTTCCCTCATTTAGAAACACTGAAGCAACATTGCCATTCTCTGCCCATCCACCCCAGGTTCACAAACAGGCTGCCAAGGCAGAGGAAGGGTTCTGCTCAGTCCCAACCTGACCAAGCCCCCGAGGAACCCCCACAACCTGCATTATAACCATTTCCACACACATCAGGTGCTCCCCAACAGCTCGTGGGCCCTGAAGTGACCACTGCCAGAGCCTGAACTCCAGCCTTTACTTAG